AAAACATGTGATTTGACTGAAAGTGTGAGGGGAAACAGCTATGTCTACAGTACACTTGACTAGGCTGATTACAGCGGAGGCTGTCATACCATCCAGAACAACCAACAACGATTTTCTAGACAATATTCAGATTTCTTCTTCCTGTCTAAATAAATCTAATTATAAGATTCAGGTTTCTGGAGTTTATATTCATATTTATAAAATCAAGACTCACATTCTACTAATGTGTTGGAATAAATAGTTAATATCCATAGGAATTCTGTACTCTTTGCCGTACAATGAAGATATTTTGCATGTGCAAATACAGTTATATAAATCTGATAGTGAGTTAATACTCACTAGAATGATTTTGCAGTTCTCTTATATCTTGTCATCAGAAACGGGTGTAGCAAGAACATATTCACAAGTGCAGTGTGTCCCATCTATTTTCCAGAACAAAGATTTTGCACAAGGTAATCACGATCACTATTCAAGGGAAGGTGTCATTTACTAATGTCACTAAACTAAGAAAAAGATGCCGGGTGTGTTCTGAGATATTCACTTTCAGTATACATATTAAATTGCTAGGTTTTTATTTACTGTCCAACAGATATTTTTGGCAATTCTTCTATACTATATAATGTGTGGAATTCTGCTAGATTGTCCCTTGAGTTAAAACTTTCACTATGTTCAGATAACTCTGGAAGACCTGACTCTACCACAAACATTTGCAAGGAAACAGCCATGTGATTGGGATAAATTCTGAGGAAGATCTTCTTTTTCCTTTTAATCATCACCTATTTGTCACCTATGTCCCAATTTGTGTGCTTTTCTCCTGCCTCTTCTGCTCACTTCCAAAAGCACCTAATTCTTTTTGCCTTTTACTAATTCGAAACACAGCTAATTGCAGAGAATCACGTTCTGATCATCCTCTCTGGATGGGCAGCATAGCCATGGTTGCTCCTGCTCTCAACTGATTTTATGCAGAGCTCAGATCTGGAGACTTCAAACAGCTTATCCCTTTCTAGTATTTGGGCCATAGCTCACCTCAAAAGAGCCCTCAGGCATTTTTTTAAATCTAATGAGGGGTCTTCTTGCATAATTTTCTACCTAGACACAGAAAAAAACCCCAAACCACTGCATCTTATTAACAAAACCTCACCTCTCCCTTCTTAGAAGTCCATGGGCCTTAGGTTTCTATATTCCTGCTGCTCTTGAAAGTTGGACTTGGGATTTTGAAATTGCACATCCATGCTGGGAATCCATCTCTATCAGACCCCTCTCAAGAAGAGGTTTTTGCATCCTGGCAAGAAACTCTGACTCTCACTGCTTCCCTCTCAGAAACCACAGGCTCTCCATTGGGACAATACTTGTGTGTTTATATTCAAGACCACCTTTTTTTTCAATTGCTTTGAAAAAAATCAACACGAGGGTATGGTCCTACTGCAGTGAAAAACTGAAGCCAGGATAGAAAGGCAATTTTCTAAATCATTTTGCAAACAAATATTTTATAAAGTAACATTTAAAACTAAATTATTCAAGGCCTTGTAGTTTTCAATGACCAGCAATATGGGCTTCTCACACCTTCAGACTTCATACCACTACCACATCTCAACATGGGAGGAAGGGAACTAGAGAATCAAATGCTGTTGTCACTCTGACCTGACATTTCTCATCCTCTTTACAAAAACACCCTTATCCCATCTAGCTCTTTCTATCACACTGAGACTTGGTTTGACAATGTTTAGGCCAAATCAAGCATTTGCAAAGGAGTTCCCTATTTTTGACTGTAGATTATGATATGAAAAACTTCAGCAACAGAACTGCAGGTACAACTGCTGCCATAATTTGGATGGTGTGAGGTGTCTGTGAAGCTTACTTCATTCTTCTAACATAATGGTCAGATAAGGTGGCTGTGCTACATTCTGAGTTGTGCTATTTTAAAGGAACTCTTTTAGTTCCACAGCACAGAAATTGTTGACTATGAATATTTGCAGCCACTACAGGGGTAATACATAGGAAGAGGAGTAATGGAAGACTTGGTAACTTATTTTACCAGTGGGATATAATGGTTCCTCAGCACTTCCCTATTAGAAGAAAGAGGCATGAGGAAAAGATGCGCTGTATGTCTTTCAAACTCTCCCTTGCTATCATTGCTGAAATTACATATCTGTATAAAGGCCTACAGTATCATTTGTAATGCTGCACTCTCTAGCACTGCTGCTTTAATCACATGTATTATAGGCAACAAGATGTATGAAGCAGGAAGGAAAATATGTGTTGAACCATACTTGGCCTGATATCCCATGACTTTCATGAGAAAGGTGAGAGTGACAGGTTCTGGAGGCTGAAAGTCAAAAGCTTAACCATCGAAATGCTGTGTGGAGATTCATGTTTCGTATAACTCCCCATCTAAACCACCACAAATCTTTTCTCACCCACAGCCATCATCAACAAGGGGAAGACAGTTCAACCTCCATTCTTGTTCCGATCTAAACATCTGTGCTGAAGCAACCACAAAAGAAGACCTTTAAAGCCAATAGTAGCCATAATTATATTGTTGTTTGGCCAGATACTCCACTAACTAGGAACTCAGCTCCCACAGGATGCCAAACCACCACCAGATGGTTCTCTGAAACCCTTTTTGCCAAGCTCACAATACAATTTGGATGAAGTTGCAAACCTTGTGATAGAAAGTCTCTTTCTGCCACTACCAGTATTTCTGGACCCCTCAAGCTTTTTATTCCCTGCATATGCCACCCACACATGGGAGATGCAGCTCTGGCATGCTCAGCCACGGCAGGCATGTTGAAACTTGCTTGTGTGGCCCTGAGAGAAAGTGTACTTCCAGCCTGAGCTCGTTGAAATGACACCCCACCTCTCCTTTTCGTCATGGTCTGTCCTTCCCATGGAGACTCCATATACCACATCTCATCAGTAAGAGGTGGATCAGGAGGGAAACCACAAGGCTGTCCTGCATATATGCATGAGAATGAGACCTAATTACGAGAGAAAGAGAGGCGGAAGTTTGTTGCGTAAGACCAGCACGGAACACATGAGCTTTGACTACTTGTGCTCTTCTCTGTGAGCCTGTCTTTGCATTCAAATGCCTGCCTTCTCTCGTGAACCATGGCTGTGCTTGTTGCTGTGGTTGAAAGGAAATTTCTAGGGGTTTTCCCTTTGCTGGAAGTCCCCTGGTTAAGGCTGCTGCTGCTGCGGAACTGTGTGCAGCCTTCTGGTCGAGGGCTGAACCCTGTAGTCTCAATCTTCAATTAGCCTTCCCTTGGCCCCTCCACAAGGCTTGTCACTGGAAGGTTTCTCCCTGGGGTGAGGAAGACACCTGCTTGTGTAAGTAAGACATTTTTATCAATCTCTTTAGAAGTGCTCAGGCCAGGAGACCTGCAAGGCCTGCAGAGCACTCTGTCTTGGCTTCATGAGAGTGGGGTTTTCTGCAGAATGCTGCACAATGGCCACCAATTAATGTCGTTTCAGCTTTGCCTCTTTTGTCTCACTGACGTTGCCTGTGTTCAGGCCATTCCCCGCCATGAAGATTTTAGACTAGACAGAAGAAAACAGGAAGGGCTGATTTAGGAAATCTCTTCACAAGCAGATCCCTTGCTCTCTGCAACTGCTCTAGGGACCCATAAGCAAGGATCCTATCCCTCTGTTACAAGGGACATCAAACATCTCACTAGGGATAGACACAAAGTATTCCCAATCAGGAAGTCAAGGAAGTTTGATGATATTGTTGCTTCAGAACAGTTGGAGTTGGAAACTCCCTCAGTGTCTGTAGCCAGTATTACTTTCTGAATGCAAAGACAGAGCAAGAAGAGTTATGGGAACACCTACCATGAGGCAGCTTCCTCAGAGCACCCACCACAGAGCTGAAATCCCCAGGTCATTCCAATGGTGAGAAATGGGAAACAGGCACCGTCAGAGAAAAACATAGTACAGGACCCTACTGCAAGTACTCATCCCTCTAGAAAAGTTTCTCTTTCTCTTCACTGAGTATGGAAGATACCTTGGAAGATGAGGTTATAGTTGGCAGCTCAGAAAGCCAGGTAGCTGAACACATACTGGTGGTGTCATTGACTGACCATGATTACAGGGGTTATAATTGTGTTCCTCCTTTCCCCTTCTTGCTGTGCTTTTGTGATTGCTGCTAGTAATCTCACTCACAATTTCTGCACTGCGGCCTGAGTTTTCATTATCAGAGACAGTTGCACTAATATTAGCAATCCCCTGGAGCCTGCAGCTTCACTTTGATAACTACTTTTTCTAACTGAATGCTTTGCATTTCACCTGGGTGACTACCACATGAGTGTAATACCATCCAATAGGGTTTTCTGCTAGTATAAAGGTTTTCTTCCATCTTATAGCCTTTAGTCATAGTAGGATTTCCTCCTTCCTCTAGCCGGGAAGCTGTATTAATTTGCTGAGCTTTCCAGCTCTGGGCTGTGAAATGGGCAGCACCTTCATAGCTGGAGTCAGGGGAAAACATCATCAGGTATGTTGAAGTCACTCAGCTCTCTGAGGAAATGGTCTGGCTCCTCTCCAGTCACCTGTAGTAGCCTCCCCAGGGACAGCGTGGCATGCAAACCATAAGACACCCAGCCTCCAAAATCTTCAAGAGTCTTCCAGCAAAATTTCTTCCCTGCTTTCTGGGATTACTTTGTGGTAACGCGGTGACCATTGGCCTGGCTTTCCTTGAAGAGGCCTGAAAAGAATTCAGTTGTCTTCACTCACCATCAGACAGCTTTTCCTCTGTGTCAGAGGAGACCAGCTGCTGCCTCATTTTTCTAGGTCCAACATGCACGCCCAAAGGTCCCCTGCAGCTACAGCCCTGCCATGTGGAGCAAGCCCAGGATTTTGTGTGTTAGCACGGGGCTGTCGGTACACAAATGATGAACTGGGAGGATGCGTCTCCAAACCGTATTTTGGATAGTGCTATATGAAGGTGTCTGCTAGGAATATTATTTCTGGCTCCGACCATGGCTTCTTTGGACTCAGTCTGCTATACTTTCTACAATTTGCTTCATTTTCTCTCCAGAGCAGAAGGAACTTACTGGTGTACAGACCCTCTTGACATAATCCCTTCTTTCAAAGGACCGATTACATTGTCACTTTCTGTTTCTCTCCTGGTAAGTGCTGCTGCAGCACACACATCCGCTCCTTTAATTCTTCCTCCCCTTTTGCAACATGCTGCCTGACACAACAGCAGTCAAGAAAAATCTCCTAAAGGAATTCTTCTGGGCTTGTACTGTGCTTTCAAGGAGCACCCTCACAGCTTAAAAGTGCTGCAATGAAGTCCTGGTCATGCAGATGCTCAAGGTTTGTCAGGAATGTCCTCCAGGAACCTGTGATCTCTTTCAGTAATAAAAGCACACTTATATGTGTGCTGACTAAGCTCCTGGTATTAGGGCACAACAGCAATAATCCAATTTTTTTTCCATCTGAACATCATTTTGCTGTGTTGACGTCTGACTCTTGACCCTTTCACTGGAGTTTTTTCTTGCGCTAGTGCTTTTCCAACTGCTGCTTGTTAAGCACTTCCTTGTGGTGGGATTTCCCTTGTTTTCATAAAGTATTTTGTTTCTTTCCCAAGACAACACCATTCTTCATGTTCCAGATCGCTGCCCCATCCCAGCTGTTATGGAAGGCCTGTGACTTCTGATGATCTTGGTACCCATTATTAATTGGTAAGTAGTTACCCAACACAAGGCTTCCAGTTTCTTAGCTGAGGTTGTTTTACGGCATTCACTTCATTCATGGTGCCTGAATCCTTCATTTGCTATGCAGTGATTTACATTCTGCTATGATCCAGGTTTAGTTTATGCTCCTGAATTTTGGCTGAGTGGCAGTATTCCCTCTTGTCTCGGTCGCATACCTCTAAGTTGTCATGTATGTTTTCACCTCCTGTCAACATTCATGCATCGTGCACCCTTTTCCCAGGAAATCTCTTGTGCTGATAACAGGCCAGCAGGTGTTTCCTACCAAATGTTGTGGCTGCTCATCTCTTCTTTCAGTCTCACCTGCCTCACGCAGCTCAGAATATGCTGCAGAGTCCCAATAAATAATAGCCTATAACACAGGGAGCCTACACCCTCCCTGAGAAATTGAGTTGCTTTTTTGAAGTGATCTGTAGGTATCTGAAAGGTCATTTTCTTTCTCATTGTACCCATTTTAGAGGTCTGGATACTTTAAATCATACTTTTGTGTCAGGCATTGGGGTTCCTTTACGTCTTTGCACCTCACTTGTGGAATTGGTTGCTGAAATACCTGAGCTGTTGGTACTAGAACCTTGGAGGACTACTTATTTTTGCGGTTTCCAGGATTTAGCCTATGTTTCCAGGCAAAAAAAACCTTAAACTGTTACAAAAATCCCATTTTAATTGCCTCTGCTATGAAATGGATTGCACAGGTAGCAAGGAAAACCATTCTCTGTTTTGGGACTGATTTACCAGCATGTTAACCACATAGAAAGAGACAGGCTGACCTTTCCCTTTGCAGCTATATTCAATCTGTATTCCTCCAACACTTGGGGTGGAAGACCTCTGTATTTCTTTAGACCTACTGATGCAGGCAATGTTAGAGTCCAAATGGAAGCTGGCTTTTGCCCATCTTCTGTCTCATGAATACAGATTGGTTTTTCCCCAGTTATCAGTTTTGAATGTCACAGGTTTTCCTTTGGCCCTATGCAGCTAATGAGACCTAGGAAGCTAGCTGCATTGTGATCCTTCTCTTTGTACTGTACGGTAGCCAAGAAGAGTGCTGTGTCACTGCTGCTGCTTGAGTCTCTTTGGGGGTGCTCTCCAACTGCCAGCACCGTACACCCTGTACTTTTCTGTTTGCTTATGCGTCATGCTCCTACAAAACGGTTTACTTTGTGGTTGGAATCAAACAGCCTTATCAAAATGCAACTCTTCAATAAAGCTGAAATGAAACATTTGGACCTCATGAAAACAGAATATTTTGCTATTTTGCAAGGGGGGGGGTTAGGAAGGTGAACAGCTTCTCAGTTGTTGAGTCAGCATTTGGGGGCAGTGAGGGACGAAAGGACCTCCCTAAATGGCCAGAGCATTATTTCCTTTTAGTGCTGTTTTGACAGAATTAGAGACAATGTCAGAACACAAAGCTGCAAATATGGGAAGATGGTATTTCCATCTCAATCCAAAAGCAAATTCACAGCTGTTTGTAAATTAAAGCAAAGAGCAGCTCAGTGACTTGGGAGCTCACAGACATGTAGAGCTGTGCATCTGTCTGCACTTCAGGCTGACAGGGCATCAAGAAATCCTAACTCACCATGAGCTGTGTGCCTGTGGTGCTGAGCCCCAATAACACACCTTTCTAACAACCAGCATGTTCAACATCAGGGTGAACACCCATATAACATAGTGACATGGATCACAGGACAGGGCCGTCTCATAGACATACATGTATCTGTGTCCAAAATCATTCTCACCTGCCTATAGGGCTAGATTTTTAAAGATTTTTATCTGCTAAAGGGTGCAGATAAAGAACTTTGTGGGAATGAAGCACTGAAAACAGCAGTGGGAGCCAATTTGCCTCTATAGGTCCTGAACATGTTTGGAGATTCTTTCAGGTACTGTTGTTTACCCATATCAGTTCCTTCTTCATCAAATGTTTATTCACATATTCTTTCTTACTAGTACTGGATTTCATAATTGAAACAAATAGCATTTAAGAAATAATATTAATGCAAAATAATATTTGCTCATCTTGTATGTATTTTCAAATACCGATGAAATTTATTAATATTTTGTAGTAAATACAGAATTAAAATTTACTGATTGGTATGAGAGGAAAAAAATTAATTTTGGTTGTAATCATCACAAAGACATTGTAATAAATTATTGTATCGAATTATTGTACCTGGGTGTATGTGCATAAAGGAAAGATAGGGGTTGCCTCATTTCATTGGGACAACTATGTTTTGAATCACCTTGCATACATCTAGTGTGCCAGGGGCATCTTGGGAGCTAATCAACACCTGTAAATCTCACAAAAAATACTGGATTCAAGTTTATAAGACAATCTTGTTAACTTCGGCCCAGTTTACCCTTAGATTTTACAAACTGATGAAGGTACACCAGAGGAGACAGAGTTTATACCTGCAAAGTGTACATTAACTTAACTCCTTCCTTGGACAGAATAGAAATATACTTTATGGAAAGTACGATTGCATCTATTCTATGTCTCTAAATCTTTAAGTTCCATAGCAAAAACAAAGAGGTCAGAAAAGGAGGAGGAGCAAAGTGACTTGCTGTGTTACAGCAGAGGAGCTAGAGGAAGCTACTCTAAGTCTAAACCACCACCATGCTCTAAATGCACAGAGATGGCAAGTAACAGGCAATACCTATTTCAGTCTTCCAGAACACCCACACAACTGTCAAAGTGGCATCAAGGGCTAAAATCCGATCAAAGATTTTGAACAAGGACCCAGTGAGCTTTCAAAGGACTGTTTTAGGGCCACCCTCTGCTCAACCCCTCTCCCAGTCACAGAACTTTGAAGAGAAGATGATCCAACTCACTGGGAGAAGACTGCAGATTTCCTCCAGCTGTAGTGGAGAGCAATGCAAAGTAGCCCAGAGAGGTACCAGAGCTTCCTCCGCTGACCCCCATGAAAACCAGCCTTGCTCTGGCACCCTGAGAGGAGCGTTAGCAATCAGCTTACAGGTACTCTGACATCCAGATATATTACCCAATGGACAGAGATGTCTTTTTCAATGTTCTTTTAAGCCTCACTAAAACTTGTAGCAATGGATGTCCATGTATACCAAGTTCAGGTATGCAGAGCAAAAGGACTGTTTAGCTGTATGCAGAAAGGCACACCCACAAGGGTGCCCAAGGAGGAAAAGACGACAGCACGGCAACCTGGAAAACTAATCACTTATCTCAGGTTTTTATGGGCTCTGCTGAGTTTGACCTCTCACTGTTAGCAATTGGTTAGACGATGTAACTAGGAAGAGGGGAAATGTCCCTGTCCCATCTATCACATGGCAAGGAGGCTCCTTACAGCTCCCCTTCAGCACCTAAATCAGAATATCTGCAGCAGTTACCCTCCCTTAAAGATTTGGCTGTTCAGAAGCATCAGTGGGTTTCATGGTTGCAGAGGCTCATTGCAGGAAGTAAATTAATGGGGAAAACAGCTGAAAAGGTGCTTATAAAAAAATAAAATAAAAAAAATAAAAAAATAGTAGTCTTAATATCTTAGACAACATATTTGCACTCCATTCTTGTAACAAAAGACATGATGAGATTGCGCGCGCGCACACGCTCATGCTTATTCTATGCTTTTTCGCCTCATCTGGCAGCCGCTTTCCGGTCCAGCAGACACTAACATCTAATGAGTCAAACTTCCCATTTTCAGACTAATCAGTCGGCTGCACTAATTGCAAATGCAAATATGCAAATTTATATTAATTAATTACTCTGCTAATTAGTTCTGCGGTCTTTTTGGGGTAATAAATCATTGTGCAGTGGAAGGGAAACACGTCCTGTCCCATTTCACTCCACATAAAAATTTAATGTACTCATTGAAGAAAATATATAAAAAAAAACCCTGATTCTGATAGCTCTGCTTCTACTGATGAGTCCCCTACAGAAAGGTATGATTGTAAGAAGGCTTTCACATCTCCAGCAAATGCCATCACTAAGGTGCCTGTTAGCAATTTAATTATCACATTATGAGCTCCAGGAAAAGCCAGTTTGCTGTGCTGCAGGCTGTGACTCTGAGCTCCGTAGTTCACACATTTTGCAGCAAATGCTGTTTATACATACATGAAAGATAATCTGGAGGAAAGCATTCAGTTTGCTCTACCTGAACAGACTGCTAAAGCTTGCGCTCAAATACTAGGAAGCTGGGTCTGCTAGAACCGTCGGAACTATATACGCTTCAGACCTGAAGCCTCACTAGACCCCAGTAGAGAGGGTTGCCAAAAAAAATGAATAGTAGCTGAAGAAGAAACTGCTTGTAGAGCCCTCCTCTGGCCTTTAATTTTACTTTGCCTCTGATCCATTTTAACAGGGAATTTGAGGCTCCACAGCCAGCTTCACATCTCCCTTGTACCCCTCATCTCCCCAGCACACCCCAGGAACTGGGGGTTGCTCCACTGCACCCCCTACTGTTGGACTGCCCAGCCTCAGGGGAGCTGTGGTCTTCCTTCGCCATGCTGAAGTCTGAAAGGTGCAGTGAGGAGGGTGTCACGCTGGTGGAGGCTCAGATGCCAAAGCCCGACAAAGTGTGGATGTCACTCTATCTACATATTCCTCCTTGTCGAACAGAAGAACATCCCCATAGCATTACAAACCCAACAGCACCTGGCTGCAGAAAGAGGGCCACTCAATCCCCTCACCATATGGATCTACATGAAGTCACACAAATACTGGGGTGCACAGTGCACCATGGGCATCCTAGGAGCCAAAGGCTTTCCTAAGAGCCTCAGAAAGACATTAAGCAAAGTCCATCCTCTTATCTTACACAAGTTAAGCCTAACTAGAAATGCAGCACGTCCCACGGCTCTTGGAAGATTTCTTCAGCCTCCACTTGCTACTTTTCACTATTACATACCATCATTTCAAGAAATGTGAAACATTCACAGAGCATTTTCTGGAGAGTCTGAATGTGATCAAGTGAGTTAATCTGCCTCAGAGAGACAGTCTGAAAAACAGATAAAGA